TAAGCACCATGATCACCCCACGGCAGGGCACCCTGGCCGATTCAAAACGGAAGAATTAGTGAAACGGGATTTTTGGTGGCCCGCTATGGGGACTTATATTCGCAAATACGTTGACGGATGCGCGCTATGCCAACAGATGAAAGCTGACACACATCCAACTACCCCGCCCTTGCGCCCCATTCCCTCCGCTGCCACTCGCCCCTTTTCTCAGGTCTCTGTCGACCTCATTACCGATCTGCCGTTGTCGGGAGGCTTCAACTCTATCATGATCGTGGTAGATCATGGGCTTACGAAGGGGGTAATTATCTCGCCATGTAACAAAAACATCACCTCGGAAGGAGTGGCCAAACTATTACTCAAGAACGTATTCAAGAGATTTGGCCTCCATGATAAAGTAATCTCTGACAGAGGACCGCAGTTTATTTCAAAATTCTCTCGAGAACTCGCCAGACTCCTCAGATACCAGATTGCTGCATCAACCGCCTACCACCCCCAGACAGACGGACAAACAGAACACTTCAACCAGGAACTTGAAACTTACCTTCGAATCTACTGCAGAAGTAATCCGTCAGAATGGGCCAACCATCTCCCCATCGCCGAATTCGTCCACAACCATCGAAAACATGACGCCAGAAACACCTCCCCATTCTTCCTCATGATGGGCTATGAGCCGCGGGGAATCCCCCACATTTTACCTGTATCAGATACGCCAGCAGCAGAAGAGAGGCTCAGGAACCTCCAGAAATTATGTGAAGAAGCATTAGCCTGCCACAGCATTGCTATGCAGCGAATGGCAGAAAGATCTCGCCATGGGAAATATCGACCATGGAAGATAGGAGATAAGGTATGGCTTACGGCCACCAATCTCCTGACATCGTTACCATCTAGGAAACTCGCGCCCAAACGATACAGACCATTCGTTATCACCGCAGTCTTATCTCCTATCACGTTCACGTTGAAGCTTCCCAAACAATGGAAAGTTCACCCCACGTTTCATGCTTCTGAACTATCCTCCTATCGGGAGACAGAGATACACGGACCGAACTACGCCGAACCCCCACCTGACGTTATCAATGGCGAAGAAGAATACGAAGTGGAAGCTATTCTTAGCCATAGGGGGATGGGTAAACGAAGACGCTATCTCGTATCATGGATAGGCTATTCTTCCGGAAGCAACGAATGGATACCCGAAGAAAACTTGCGGAGTTCGAAAGAACTCTTGACAAGGTATAAAGAGAGACACAAGTTAAACTGAACGAACCATTCCCCTTGAACAAAGACATCCCAAGTATCATGACTCCCCCAGTGACACCTTCCCCCACTGAATCGTCCACGTCTGCCTTCTCTCTCGAAAACTCCACATACAAGAAAAATATCATTGACCTTGACGACGACGCCATCGTCGAAACAACCTTGTTGTCCCTCCCTCACGCCATTGAACTAGAAAAACAGCTCTCCAAAGAACCTGCATTTGTCGCCGCCCCCATATTATCCCAGATCCACGTTATACGCGCCACCGCTGCCCTTGAACTCAGACTCAAGGAAGTTAAGGACGATGCCCTCAGACTCGCCTGCCAACACCTCCAAAGACAAATTCACAGTCTTGAGATTCAGCTTCTTCCTTCTGCTTTTAGCACTGTCTGCAAAACAGTTATACGAACTGTTGCAGAACGAAACGCGACCGAAGTCGGTCGCCCGCCAAGCCCTTCTACTAGAACTCCCCCCGGCGGCATACCTGCTGCAGATACGACTAGAGAAGAAACTCAACCTGTTGCTCAACCAGCACAAGCTGAACGAGCATTGCCCATCCACGAACCCACTGTCGTCTTTAAACGAAAGACCCGCAAGGGAGCCACAGTGCACGGAGTGTCGAAGACTAGAGCTTCTAAAGGAAAGAAGCGTGAAGTCATTGACCTTACCGAAACCCCCGATGTCATCACAGTAAAGCAACCCCAGTTCTCCTCAGACAATTTCATTTGTCGTGTCTGCAAGAAACTCGGACACCGCCACAAGAACTGTCCCGAATACCACTGTCACGTATGCCAGAGTCAGAAGCCTGGCCATCTATCCATCTACTGCCCTTACGCCTCCAAGAAGGAGCAATTTCCGTTGGTTTACACCGACGAAGGCTTCTACAAAGCATTGTCAGAATGGGAGGCTAAGAAGGATGAGGAGCTTCGGGATGAAATAGAATGAGCAAATCGGGAGTATGCAACTCAGTACAATGAACCGGAGTTTTGCAACGCTGACGCAGACCCAATCTACTACGAACACATGGATGAGTACATCAACACCGAAGAATATTGAAGTCGGAGACTTCAACCGTAGCAGTGGGGTAATGTTACAATAACATTCTACCCCTATCTTCATTTCTCTTATCTCGCTTACAAATGGGCCGTCCGTATCATGCTTATCTCTTATCTTCGCCAAGCGGGCCGTCCACCTTATCTTTCTTGCTATCATGCTTCTATCTTGATAACCATTTACAAGCTCCGCTTGAACATTAGTTATATAGACTCAGTTACCAACGATTGTATTCTTTACTTTAATCTACTGGGTTTTACCTGGAACATTGTCCTTCAGTAAGGTCTCCAACCTTACTGTCTAAAGAACCATTATTCTAAGGGAGTCAGCGACACTCGCCTTAGCCAGAAACCTTGATCTCTCATTCGAGAGCAGACCTCTGTCTATCTGGCATCTTGCCGATTGTCTATTCAGACACAGATAGCTCGACTCATCCCAGTCGTAACATCTGTACAACTGATATGTGCTGATTGTTACTGATTGTTACTGATTGTTACTGATATCAGACAGTTGTCTGATATCAGTCATGCAGGTAAATCAGGACATTCAGCAGAATTGTAGGTTTCCTGATGTTGACCAAGGGGTTAGCTATCTGATATTAGTCTGAAGGTAGTGAAATGTTAAGTGTTCAAAAGTCTGAGCACGGGAAACAAAGTCCGAAGGTATAATCACGAGTCCGATGCCAAAGCATCGGTGTTATGCACTCAAATTGGTCTGTTATGCAGAGCCCTAAGAGGGGCATCGTCCGCTAATGTTTGTGATGTAACCGGAAGGATCCGGTGTAACGAGTGGGACTTACAACATCGAGTCGGCAGTGATCACAGACACGCGTGTCACGTGACTTCTAAGACAACGGTCTTAGAAGAAGTCACTAGGCTCAAAGTGCGGACTGTCTTGTCTGACAATGAGGCTATCGATTGAGGTAAACTTAGGCGCGACAAGCACCTAAGAAAAGATACTAGAGACTGAAGCTGAGGGGGCTTCAGAGGGAAGTATGTTTGAGGGAAGATTGAGTAGATTCAAGTTAGAGAATCTAGTACAGGATGACCAACTACTTATACTAAAGGGAATGGGTTAAGACGCGAGCCTCATAGTTTTCACAATGCTCAGAGGAAAGACTGAGATATTTTATACCTTATTACATAATCGGACTCATGAGATTTGGTGGGACACCTGCTCCTGGCAGTATTATTGTCATATCCCGCATTCCGGACCAACATCCGACGACATTCCCATGCCTCATCCGGACCTCCGGACCTCCTGTCCATGTCTCCAGACCCAATCCTCTATCCGTCCGGATCCCTGTACTCCTGCATCTGATATCCGGACGCCAGATCTGATATCCACATCTCCGGATCTCCGGATCCGACCTATCTGTCATGTCCGAACCCAAACCTTAAATCAGCGCCCATCCCCTTATGGTAATCACCTGTCTCCGGACTTCCGAACATCCAGATACGACCCACGTCTATCTTCTGGATCTGACCCGCATCTATCTTCCATGCCTTATCCCTTTGTATGTTCCTTCTTGAGTTAGACTTCCTCATTTTCCGTACCTCGTTTCATTTCCGGCTTTATTTTCCTATGTCTTCATCTCCGTCTTCATTTACTATTTTCCGATAGACTAGTGTTTGACTTTTCTACATCCTCCGTCCACAGCCTCGCATAGCTTCGGACTGTGCTGACTGACTCTCTGTTAAGTCCTCTGTAGTATATAAACTCTGTAGAATCTTTGTACTTCCTCAGTCTGAATATCATACACATATTAGTCCTCGCACTAGCCTTCACCCTAAGTCCTCGTAACAGTTCTAGTCCTCCGACTTAGTCATTATCCATCTCAGGCCTAGGGAGAAATTCCCTAGGCCGGAGCTCCGCTCCTCCGCTCATCCGATCCTCCATTCCTCCGAGTTTCCGGAAGTTCCTCCGGAACTTTCCCGCGGTCCTCCAGACCTATTCTGCTTCGGACTTTGTCCTTGCAGCCTTTCCTCTGTTTGCTTCTACTCAGGACTTGTCCTGAGTAGCCATTACACATATCCCCGTCAGGACGAAACTCCATCATAATTTCCGGAAGTTCCTCCGGAACTTTCCCGCACTCATCCGGAAGTTTCTCGCACTCGTCCGGAAAGTCCTTCCGAAGTTTCCCACGCTTCTCCAGAAGTCCTTCGGACTTCACTGGACTTTCACTGGACTTCATTCTGAAGTTAAGGGCACATACTCGGGTAAGGGGCGCAGCGCACAAGCTGAAGCCAAGCCCCTTGGAATCAGTCCTACCCTTTGTGCACGGTCTGAACAATTATCCATAACCATAGCTAATTATCGACATATGGTTATACTTCATCTTCATGGACCCTCGAGGATATCCTTCGTTATCCGTTATACATTACCTTACTCCCATTGCTCCTTAGTACCTGCTGTCCCGCTTATATAATGATTGATTGATCTCGATCGTAATCGTACCTTACTCCCACTGCCTGCTCCTGCTGTCCCGCTTATATAATGGTTGATTGATCTTGATCGTGATCATACCTACTCCCGCTGTTCGCTGTCCCGCTTATATAATGGTTGATTAAGCATACCAGGGTCCAGGGCCTTCAATGTTGTAGCTTCTTGAGAATGGCGTGTCGATCACACGAGTTTAGAGATTAAAAGTCTGTATTTGGTATAAACAGAAGGTATATCAAAATGTACCGACAGTACTAGTGAGCCGTGTTGATGGACAGGATGGGAGCTGCAGTTGCCTTGGGATGAAGGAGGGCGGGCATGATACTCCACTTGGTGAGGAACACATCTCTCATGGACCTGCGCAGGGCTGCTTGACGTTTGGCATAGCCTCGGATGCCTTCCAATGAAGCATCATCTAGGCCTACCCTTCGTGTGGCCTGCTCTTCCCACCACACAGCATGCCATGCAAGAAAAGCACCGACGCGCCACATCTCTTCGAGCAGGAGTTCCACTTCTTCAACCCACCTATTTGCACGGGCCCTCGATCTACACCATTCGACTCGCAAAGCTATCAAAACATTCAGCAGCAGTATTGACACAAGAGTGGTCACTCACCTTCTGAGAGAACTGCCTCACCCTCCACCCCTGCAGTAGCTACACCTTGCGCTTTCCATATCCATGACAAGGTGCGGTTCCCGCTCAACTCTCCAAATGCATTGTCTCCCATCCCTCGGGTGTCCCCGTCCTCTAACTTTGGCAGCTCTGTCGTCCACGCATTCCTGGCAAGGGAGGGTGTGAGAGCGCTTAATGCATTCCAGGCTCTGCGATAGTGCTCAGCAGCCACGGATACATTAACTTCGACATTCTTGATGATAACACCTGCACGTGTATTTTCCCGTTGACCGCGAATTTGAGCATCCTTGAACTTATATAGGTGTGTTCGAAGGTGGAGCTGCCAGCGGAGATCATCGAGGGCGTCAAATGCCTGGGCACGCTGTAAGTCCCACTCATATTCGGAGAGACTATCATTGCATGGAAGCAGTGTCTCTCGCCTAATCTGTGATGGCAACCACAGCTTGATGTCGTAGGGTTTCTCCTCCTGGATAGAATCTATACTAGACTCAATGTCGGAGGTTCGAATACAAGCTACTGAGGGGAGGTACAGCAGCTGGATCTTACACCATTCAGCAATCTTGCGCTGCAATGCATTGCTGCGTTCCTGGAACTTCGCAAGCTGTAGGTCGGTGGCATAAACACCGAGGGCGCTATGGTCACGCTGAAGATGACATCTGCGTCATAGTCACTCAGTGTTGTGTAAACGGCAAAAACCAGAACTCGACTCACTGTTGATCCTCGTAGTCTATGCCGGAGGAAATTAATATACTTGGGGAGATATCAGAGTGAAGCGCAACATTGACCCCATGTTCTAGATCCCTGGCTTCTTTTTGTGAGAGACTGAGGCGCACGGCAGCTTGTGACATTGCTAACAGAACAGAAAGAGGTTAGTATCTTACAAGGGCAAAACATAGGGCTTACATTTGCTCTTTATCTTGAAAGGATTGGGCTGCGATCTGTCTTCTTCCCATATTTCCACTGCCGACTTCCATGTTTCGACTTCGTTGGGTCGCTCCTGTGATAGCATGCGATCGAAATCTTCGAAATCACGTACATGGAGTTCACGTTCTGGGATAGCTGACTTTATCTTGCGCAAAAGGCTGATACCTTGATGAAACATTAGATACATAGCGAAGTATGAGTTAGGTAAAGAAGAACTTACCGAAGTTTGTCACCTTCTTCCAATTAAAATCCCCAAAATGATCATCTAGGATGTCTCTCCGTGAGCCTGGCCCCATCTCGCGTGTGCTTGTTGCCACTGGATTGATGTTGGCCCAACCACGCTCAGGAGCTTTGCCATCAGTTCGACCAACACCCTTAATCAGGTTATATGAGAATGTAATTTGGCAAGCAGCAATGTGAGCGGGAAGGTGAAACTTGGGGACGAGGAATACGATAGTCTTGTTGCTGAGGTCAAGATGAATTGCAGAGGGATATCTTGACATGCGGTCCCAGAGGTTCTTACTCCATTGACAAGTGATATCATATGATATGTTGAGAACCATGACGTCGCGAGTCTGTTGCAATGTCGAGAAGAGCAGATAGTCCATATTAACATATCTATCATATGTAAAGTCAATTTAGGTATTAGGGTCGAAAAGGGTCATGTACCTTTTGCCCTTCTGGAGGTCGCCAACTGCACATGGTCGTTTGAGATTGTGACGAGTGCAGTCCACTGTACCTACACCTGTGGCCGCCAAACCTCGTGCATTTTTTGTGTCTGCAAGATTCACAGCGCTGTGACTCGCACACATGCTTTTCTGATCAAAATTGATATCATATAAGTATGCCTGACTTGGGGAGGAAGGGAGGAGAATCACCTCTTGAGGCAGTCTTCCTGCTTCGTTCAGAAATGATTTGAATCCGCGTTCTTCAACAAAGTATGACAACCCCCGACTCAGACCGGGGTCGACTTCGTCAGAGGATACATTTTTCCTTGCCAAACAAAAGTTTGCGTCAATTGCCAGGAAAAGGGCATATTTCCAACTACATAATAACCATTTTCAGTATCCTGCAGAGAAAATCGCTAGACAACATACCGAACTTCAGGCGGGGCCTTTTCCCAGTCATCCGGCATGTTCTTTCCTGGCTGGGGACATGCAGCACACAACACTGCGCAGGCACCTGGTGTAGCAGCGCAAACACCGGCAGGGTCATGTCCATAACCCGATCGTTTAAGGAGAGTGATGTTGCACCACTGCTTCATCATTCTCAGCAATGCCTCATAACGATCCTGTAATGGAACAGTCAGAAAGCAAAAAACAAGCTGTGTGACATCAAACACTTGCCTTGGGAGGACTTACTCCCGCGTTATCAGTGAGACGAGCCAATGTCTGCCAATATTCGAAGGCGGATGCCTTGGACTCCAAGGAGAGAATATGAAAGTGGTGTAGAAGACAGAAAGTAGCGGCACTCCTTGGATCAACAGTTGTAGAAGGGTACCACCGTGTACACAACAACTGAACAATGGGAGATTGTGCAATTTCACATGCACAGAAGTCAAGGGCGATCTCATGCACGCCGTTGATATCGAGCACTACGAAGTCGTCGTGAAATGCTGTGGATGAGTTATAGCAACACTCCCCGCTGGGATGTCCAAGCTGGACATGTAGTCCAAGGACTTTGAGTGTCGTATGGGCGAAATAGCCATTATTCCAGTGCTTTGAAAAGAAAGTTGTGGTAAATGTGTTCCTAAGACCAAAAACACAGTACATACCTCAATTCTGTGCAATGGGTTTGCACAATGCTTCTCCACAGTGCATCGTTGACAGTACAACTCTGTGGAAAAGCAATCTTTGCACCAATAGAGAGGAGGGAGTGGGCATTCTGCACAACCTCGACATAAATATTGAGAGACATAATCACCACAGCCATCCAGTCTAAGCAGTTCAAGAAGGAAGGTATCTCACTCCAGCAACCACGAGGACATCGGGCGATTCTACACAACATTAGAATCAGTCACAAAAACTTGAACAACACAACTTGCACACAAAAAGAACTCACCCCTGCTGTGCGTTTACGCTTTTTAGGTCCCTCATCGGTTTCAGCGAGATAATCCATGTAAGCAGCATCAACAACGTCGAATTCATTGTATCCGTTATCGTTGAGTGGTGAGTTGGGGGCTACTGCAGGAACATTCGGCGTCGCCGTTGGGCCTACAAAATACTCTGTGTGCATGGCAACACGTCCAGGACCTGTGATAGTATGGGATATGTGTTTGTGCAGCTCGTGGTCGCCAGAGGTCTCTTGTGGTGCATGCATGGCTTGTTGACGTGCAGCTGAGAGATTTTGACGCTGGGAGGCCTGGTGTGCTGCGTTCAGCACATGCCACTGGCACTTAAGCCCCTTGTCACGCTGCCGACGGCTTGGACCCATGACTCAGATACAGACTCAAGGAAGTGCTTGAAGACTTACTATTTATTCGTGCAGCCATATTACTTCGCAGTAAGAGTTCAAGCGTAAACAATGTCACGTGTCTGATCAATCTGCTGTTCTAGTCTATACGCTACCTAATAGTGATTTTTGCGGATTCTCCACGAAGCGTGTACACCACACCATAGCTGCGCATTAAAACATCTTTCAGTAATTTCCTTTGTGCTGTGCAAGGCATTTGCTTGCTTGAAAAGTTCGCGTAGCTACATTTGTGCAGATGTATACTAGATAGTTGAGAACTGAATCAATGCCAAGACTCACACACGAAGACCCTTCTGATACATCAACTCCCCCATAGAGTGAGCAATACAGATCTCCGAAATTCCCTCCACATCAAAGTAGTACTCGATATCCTCCAAATATGCGAGTGTGGTGTTGAGATAACAACAGACCGTGTTAGCCGCACGAAACTCAGCTGCTAAGGAACCACAATAATCATGGATTTCATCTTGAATAGGGACAGCTTGATTGAGCAAGTCTCGGACCTTGGCCACCATATTTGTGACAATGGTTTTATCGCCATTGTCAGCACGGTCATCTGTATATGTGATGCTCTTGACAAACTGAAGCAAGAGAGCCTCCGTAAATGCATGAGGGTCGTTGATCAAAGACAACATGTCGTTTTTGATCCTTTTGATAGCAACCAGACATCCCGGCAGATCCGATCTGTTGGGTATTAATTTCATGTTCATTTCATTTTCTATTTATAAGATGACATATGGTATCATGTCGTCATCGTTCTCCTCAACATTGCCGGAATCGTCTGACATCTCCAGCTCATCTTGATCTTCCTCTTCATCTGAGTCATGGTGATGTAAGAATATTTCAACGGCTTTCTGGAGCTCTGATGGCCCCGTGTCCTTTTGAATACGAAGCTCTCTCCGCTGGCTTAAGATTCTGTCTCTGTTTCTTCAATTGGTTGACTCAGGGACGACCAGACACAATTAATAAAAGTAAGTTAGACTTACTTTGCATAATGGCGTCGGTTTTTTTCACGACTTGCTTGCAGTTTTGCCTCGATGGTCTTATGAATAGAAGGACGAGGCATAATTTTGAGAGGTTGTAGTGTTGCAGTGGTGGTTGGTAGAAAAAGGTTGAAAAGAAGCAGTAGCTTCTTGAGCGTGCCATAGAGTCAGACATTTGATAGTAGTCGGACCGAAACTGATAACATTATACCTAGCTAGCTATCAATACAAATATAAATCTATGATATATCACAACGCAGTTAATTGAGGCAGCGGTCATAAGTACCACAATATTAAGCAAGCAAAGAGACTGACCTTCACAGCGCTGTTAGGTTTATTAGCTTTCTTCGCAATGCGAAGAAAGCTAATTTCTAAACCTAAAGCAGCTGTGAAGGTCAGTCTCTTTGCTTGCTTAATATTGTGGTACTTATGACCGCTGCCTCAATTAACTGCGTTGTGATATATCATAGATTTATATTTGTATTGATAGCTAGCTAGGTATAATGTTATCAGTTTCGGTCCGACTACTATCAAATGTCTGACTCTAGCCTTGAGTGAGAGCAATAGCTTGAATCATTTTGCAAACTTGTAGCGCTACATAGTTCAATGTCATTTGCAATATTGATAGTAGTCGGACCTAAACTAACTAGCTAGCTATCAATACGAATACAGATATTGAATCATCAAGTATTGTTTGTAAACTCGTAGTGTTACATAGTTCGATGTCATTTGCGAACCGGCTATATTTTTTATGCGGCTGGTTGAATCTTTCCCAACAGTTGCCACAAAAATTCATTCAATGTGTACGTAGTTACAGATAGGCAATATGAGTCGTAAATCTCGCAGTACTTGTGTAGTGACACACTACTGAGATTGTGTGTATTTCTCTGGCTGATAGAATGTTACTGGAGCTTCAAACTTCAAGAACAAGGAATGCATCTTTACCTCTTCAGGTACCCCCTCGAGATCAGAACAGTTACTAATGGCAACTTCTTTGGCGGAAAACTGAGTAGTCATGTGGATGGTACAGACAGTTTCGTGGATCTTCGTGCCACACGCATAGCATTTGTGACGATGAGCACGCAAAATACATGCAGGACAGGCTCCATGTTCTAGACAAGGCAAGGGGATGGGCTCAGGACCGTCATCCTCATGACTATTGAAGATGTCTGCCACCAACAAATTCAGTAGAGGTAAGAAGACATCGGTACTAGAACTTACCATTCTGGTCCCTTATCAACTGCAAAGCAGCAGAGAGTTCGCCAAGGGTAAAGGTTAGGCTAGACTGTGTAAAATGATAATTGGTGTGAATTTTCATTTGATCTGTGTCAAGACCAACTGGCTGGTCGCTTGTCTGACCCTGCATACTAATTGTATATTAAGTGGTTGGAAAAGTGGCAAGGTGATTTTATTGGCTGACGAGTCCCTGTGAATTCTATTTCTGACTCCGATCCAGACAGCCCTGAACTAAATTTTACAATCGGTAACTCCGTGAAGCGTCTGCAACTCAAATTACTCAAGACTCACTGCTGTAAGCTATGACACATGCCCTAAGATAACAAAAATCAGAGAAACTCACCGTGCTTGACATGACAGCTAAACATGCCAGGTGCCACATGGACAACACCTCAACAGAAGGTGTTTCTGGAGCAGCACTACAACCCTTTCTTGAAGGCGCAACTGCAGGGTACTGTCGGCCAATTCTGGATCCCCTTATATGCCGAGTGGTTTAAAAAATGGCCAGAGGTCAATGAAATGTTCAAAGGTCAGACCGTACCAGTCCCATTGTCCGAGGAACAGAATGTCGAGTTAGGAAAGGCAGTAGACACGAGGCATAGGGTCAGCTCACCTCATATGAAATCGCACGATCGAGCACTTAATTGGAAATTTTAGAAACTGTGAACATGGTTTAATAACCGGTCCCAGAAGAGCGGTAGAGAGGCTGTGAACACAATGACCAAATTGATCACAAAGCTGATGGGAAGTAGAGCGAAGGGCACACGAGTGCACAGCGAGGTTGAGGTGTTCTCGAAAATGATGTACAAAGACAATGTACAAGAGATGGTGAAGAAGGAAATCGAGGCAGGTGCCCTGGCCACGAAGGAAGAAAGGCTCCGAGGCATGAAGGAGCTTACTAGGAAGGCATATGATGCTTCTAGTGAAGAGGTTCGCGCTTTGTGTAAAGCAAAAGTACAAGAAGAGCGAGACTTGAAGGCTCAAGTTATCCTTTGGGGACTTAAAGAGGGAGGTGGTGTGTGTCCTACAAATGAGCAGTATGCAAAGTCAGACCTTCCTTCCTCTTTGGGTTATCTACTATATTTCTGACAAATTTTGCATCAGGGCGCTCGAAGAATGCACTGGTCCTATCTCACAATTTCTGCAGGCTATCCAGCACATGACAGGCTTTGAATGGAGTGTCATTGGCGCAGGCCCTGATCCTCGCCTGGATGGTAAACTTAATGCACTGACGTATGTCTTCAAATTTGTCAAGCTTCGATTACTACATGCCTCATGAGTTTTTTTTAGTTACCACACCGGCATCAATTCTGCAGGCAGGAATTGGCATGAATCCACACCCGACTTCGTTGAACGTCACCTCAATCCTTACTTGGAGTTTGTCAGTACCATTTTCCGTGAGCTATTATTCAATTTTTCTGTATACTGTATAATCATTGCTTGATTCAACTTGCAGCAGAACATGTTAGGAAGACACGTGCGCTCAATTATGTGCCTCAGGCTCCAAGTCCTACAAGAGATACTACTCCAGAGTTGACTGCTGCCATCATTCCACTAACAATGGACCTCGTGGGTGCAGCTTCTCCAAGTAGCGCTTCTCTTCCTGTCATGCTGCACAGTGCGGCCTTGTTAGGTCAAGCATTGGCGGGACCTGCACATGTTCAACCAGGTGTAGATTTGCTATCTGATGATCTTTGGACCTTTGATAGATCAAACACAGAGTCTTTTCTCGATGAGACTCAGCTTACGGGCCTCCCTATGGAAGTACTGCTCCCTGCACATCCTGACGCCACCTCATCCCACAATGCCGCAGAGATGTCATTTCCTTCTTTTTCATTGTCTTATAGTCCACCGCCGTCAACCTCGCAGGCCATCTCATCGAATCAAGAAGTCTGGAATCAGCAGATACCATCTCCACTCTGCTTCTCGCCACCTCATTTCCGCATTCGCCATGACAGGCTTGATGATTCCCCCATCTCCAACTCATCTGACATCTTTGGGCCAAGCTATGTTTTTCCAGACCCTCCTGGACTCCGAGTTGAACCTGGTCGTAACACGATATTGTCTGGTTCAGCTGCAAACCCTCACCTTTCTTTTGATGAGCATCCCACACCCGCACCTGCACCTGCACCTGTGCCCACACCTGCACCCACACCTGTGCCCACACCTGTGCCCACACCTGTGCCCACACCCGCACCCACACCCGTACCCATGCTCACACCCGCACCCGCACCGACCGTAGACGAGCGCACATCTTGCGCCAATATTGTCAGTGCACCCAGCTTGCACTTACCAATGCCAACTCAAGCTGCCACTACAACCACTGCACTGATTGTGGACAAGCCTCTGAAACGAGCTGGTGGACCTCCTCCAGCCGTGGATGAACACACATTCGGCACCGTCAGTGCACCGAGAAAGATGGGGTGTGTTAGACAAGCTACCACGCGCCTTGCACAAGCAAACAACATCGGAGAGATCAAAGGGAAACACAAGGCTACTACAGTTACGGGAGATTCGGCATGCCCCTCTTCAAACCAACGAAAATTGTAGTAGAATACTCATCTTGACAATCTTGCATGTTCATCGTATTTGATGGGCACTTGTATGTGTATATATTGAGCCACTGAATACACTATGATCTTGTGCACCCTATATTGAGAGGAATTGGAGAAAATCTATCGCACTGAAGGTCTTAGTAGAAAAAATTGATCGTGCCAGCGCCTCATGGTATGGGACTTGGCATAATTTCAACCACGATTGCCTTATTTGGTAATTTCGTTGGGACACGTCACCTAAGTTGATTTTCGAGGTAGAGTGAAACGAATTGGAACTGCACAGATGTAAGAAAATAGTAGCAATAAACTACAAAAAGAACAAGAGCTGGAGATACTGAACAGAGCCAATGGTTCGAGGGGTCCAGTTCACGTTCGGACCAGGTTCAAACACTAAAGTTATCTAAATGAGTAAGATGTCACTGGGTGCTGCTCAGGCACAGGAGCCTATAAAATATGCACTTACAAGGCCGTTGGACCGAACAGAGCTAACAGTTCGAGGGGTTCAGTTCACATTCGGACCAGGTTCAATCACCAAAATTATCTAAATGATTAAGATGTCACCGTGTGTTGCTCAGGCGCAGGAGCCTATAAAATATGCACTTACAAGGCCGTTGGACCGAACAGAGCTAACAGTTCGAGGGGTTCAGTTCACGTTCGGACCAGGTTCAAACACCAAAATTATCTAAATGATTAAGATGTCACCGTGTGTTGCTCAGGCGCAGGAGCCTATAAAATATGCACTTACAAGGCCGTTGGACCGAACAGAGCCAATGGTTCGAGAGGTCCAGTTCACGTTCGGATCAGGTTCAAACACCAAAGTTATCTAAATGAGTAAAATATCACTGTTTGCTGCTCAGGCGCAGGAGCCTATAAAAATATGCACTTACAATGTTTTGCAGCATGCCAATAATATGCGAGGCGGCAGGGAGGTTGACTCCTGTTATGTACTGACATGAGGGCTCGGGAAAGGGTTGATACTAGTAGTTGTGCGGGCACCTGCATTCATGAGAACCAAATTGGAAATATAGCGGGGCATCGCGCGAGAACCAGAGGCACTGCGGGGACCAATAGAAGGACGTGGTGCAGAAACCAGGGCATTATTCATGATCCGGAGGCTCCAGGCTGCACTCATGTCGGTTCTTTGATGGATGATCAGGTCGATCAGATCTGGATCATGGAGAAGCAGTGAGAAGGCGGGAGAGATTTGAAGCTGAAACAAGGGGGTGATGTGGCAGCCCGGAAAGGGTAGGAATGCACCAAATAGTATCGGCCGACCCATTATCCATCATGGACAGCTCCAGAACAAGTAGAATATCGCCATATTGAGGTTTCTGGCATATTATCCATCGTGGGAGCTGTTATGGATAACCTATCAAAGCATCGATAGTCCGTGACAATGAAGTATAACGTGTTGTAGATAGTAAGTGTGAGTTATGGATAATAACGACAGCATCGGCTCGGTGGGAAACCATGCAGAGACTTCATTATGACAAATATGCAGGACCAACACTATGGTATTTAACAAGTTAACATCAGACTGCAAGAATCTCAACAAAGTTTGAACACAGCTTTGGAGTACAGCATTCAGGCAGTGCAGAGGCAGTGTACACAGCTTGCTAGCACAGGTTAGCATAGCCACAGAGCACAGCCACTAATGTTGATTTGAAAGCAGCATTGGAATCTGGTGGAATAGTCTGGAAAGTTCTATGGTATTCTTTGAAACTTTAGTAGTAGATTAGTAATCAGTAGCACAGCCACTAGTAGAGTAGTATATAAGGGGCCCATTTTCCCTTCTAATATATAGAGCTCCATCTCAGAGCCCATTTCCAAGTATCATCTAAGTTTGAGAGTGAAAGAGTGAGTGAAAGATAAGAAGAGTGACCATAAGGCTCTTTTTAAATTCTCACCTCAAAGATTACTGAGTGACACACTGAGTGAAATATTAGCTTATTTCATTCCACTTTTTGACACTGTTTCCCACAACATACAGAGGCATAATTGAGGCCACCATTGAGCCATACATTTTACACTAGCTGGTACACGGTTATCAGTCATCTAGTGCAGATATATTCCAGTTCTCTTTCAGACACAGGAAATCAATTCTGTGGGGAGAATATACGTATTTTCATTAGCAAGGGAAGACAAATAAGACTAACAGTCAGTCACTAATATTAAGAACTTGGCCCACTTAAGACTACATCAATAGGGTGTACTCTGTTCTGTCCTGCGTCAAACTCATCGTGTAGTGCCTGAGCAGCAGAGAGTAGGTTTCGAAGCCACGTATTAGTTCGGGCTGATCCGTGTTAGAGGCTTAGTTTGATCTCCAATTGGTTTGTGAAGATAGGGAGTATTGTCATAGCTCTGAGAATCATCGCATAGACATCCATCTGTATTCGTTGAAGTCATAGCACTGCATCACGCCAGTTATTGACTTTCTTTAGGATCATAGCACTGCATCAAGCCAGTTACTGATTCTACTTCCCCCTTTTTAGTCACTGAGTCATTCCTTTGAAAACTCAACACACTTTTTCCCACGAACAACCACGTTATCGACTGTTGGTATTTGTCTGAACCATTGACCGTGGTAGGATACTGAAAATTGGTGAATTTTACTGTTTTCACATCCTAGTAAGACATAATTGGAGCCCAGCAATATAAAATGTTGTGGTCTGCACGGCCTAGTCTGCTATACTTGCAAGACAAGTGTGTTCGACCCGAGGGGTTAGCTGTCTGGAATAAGTCTGAAGGTAGTGAAATGATAAGTGATCAAAAGTCTGAGTGCGGGAAACAAAGTCCGAAGGTATAATCACAAGTCCGACGCCAAAGTGTCAGGTCCGATGTTTTCGGGTTATCGGACTAGCGGGTTTCGGGTGCGGGCTCAGCAGATTACGGAGAATAATGATAACGAGTGTCGGGAAAGTGAGCGGTATGCAGAGAATATCGATAGTGATGGGTATTTCGGATAGAGAGAGCGGTAATATTCACAATGTCAACTAAGAACTACGAAATATCAGGTATGACCACAAAGCATCGGGAAATGGCTCCCTATCACTTGGATGATCAATAATGCTCGAAGTCAGTCCAATATATATGTAGGTACATAGAAATGTGGAACCCATAGGCGAAAGTAGCTGCGGAATATTTCAGGTCTGATGTACACGTAAACAAACACGAGGTGCTGCAGACTATGGGAAAACATGTAATAGTGCTTGCTGCGACGTGAGTAATGTGCGAAATAATGAACTACACACCTAGTGGGGCTAGCAAGACAGGACGGGACACGGATAGGACAAGTGTGCAGGAAAACATCGGGTCCGATGCGGCTGAAACATCGGGTCTGCTAGTCAAAATGTTGGGTCTGAAATGTCAAAGCATCAGATTGAATGGGAAGTGATTATTGTGTGACATGGATCATGAAATAACTGAATAAGAGCCTAGTGCGAGCTCGAGTGCTACAATGGACCAAGACTCACCAATCCTCCAATTTCTGCTCTTGATTAAAATATGTTGTAGTTGCCTTGCCGTATCATGGAAGTAAGCATTGTGCAGCCACGCTGTGTCATTTACATCGCTAATCTTTACATCTCGCATGTCAGGCATATCTACATGTTCAACTCGCAATCAAAGCCTTGGGTGGCACATGTCATGAAGAAGCCGCCAACATTCCACTGCCACTCTCGACAAATTCCCTACTCAAGCCACCGGCTCAGGCCAAAGCCAGCTGTCATTTGCGGCTTTGGCCTGGCTTGGATTTTTTGCAGGCCAGAGCCATCTGAAGCCAGGCCAAAGCCTTGGCTTTTGGGCCAAGCCAGGACAGAACATCACTAACTCAATGCATAGAGGAGTTGTACAAACAGTTGCTGCAGTGTTGCCTCACATGGCAAGTCAACGGCTATGGGATCCAGACTCCAAGCTGACAGCACCCAGAGCGACCAACACTTATGCTGACCTTGGCTTTGCAAGTATGAGCTCACCAGTCGGTAGTATCATTGCCAATCCTAGTCCACAGAACAATGATGAAGACGATAACAACATTGAGTGGGAGCTTCAAAATAATGGATTGTATATTGGTTTGTTCCCCTGAACATCATGGTGGCATCACCATTCTCCAGCTGGTTTTCTTAACCTTTTTTTCTAGGTTTATACTCTCGGATAGTCTTATTGAATGCTTTGGTTCCAATTTCCGCAATAATGATTTTCACTGTGCTAGCATTCCTCCCTGACTTGGCTTGGCCCATAGCAGACTTCCCTTCTCCATACCCATCATCTTTCCCCTTCCCATTACCTCAAATTCTCATCTCCAGCGCATTCTTCAGTATCACTCATCTCCTCCGCATTCCCATATTCTCACTCACTTCCTTCCTACTCCCTTTACAATATGCATCTTTTGCAAGCACATTCATACATGTCCTCATTACAAACAGCCTTCATCTCACATCCTTCATAATTCTCCAAGTCAGGCACACAATGGACTATCCCATCCCTACTTGCCAGGATCCTGCTTTCCACACTGTCTGGTGACTTTTCCGCAACTTTGCAGAGGTACTTGCTGCTATTATACAGGGATACAAACAACTCACTCTTTACCGCGATCTCATGGTCCCAGAGGAAAGAGAAACCGAGTTCCTCGAACATATAAAATCTGGTTTGTAAGGGTACACCTGGGGTATGGGTGGAGGTTGCCTTTCACGGCACCCTACCCTTACCCACACCCATGCACGGGTTAGACCATCCAAACACCGGCAGCAAGCACTCAGTACCACGGGCACATGACTCACTGGATGCCACATCACCATTCACGCCAGCATTGGCACATACCCCAACACCACCAACACCAATGACCACCACACTGCGTCTAACGCCACCAGCACCATGTGCAAATGCGCAGCGCACGCCAGCAAGTGCTGATGTGGCACAAATGCTTGCGGATGACACCAGGACGCCGAAGATAAGAAAAGGATGAGAGGTGGCACTCATTCTCACTCGCATGCAGCGCATGTAGACTTGACTATGGATGGAGAGTTGCAGTGACTGAGTCCGTTGATCCTCCTTTGAGCTTGAGCCACGCTGATCCAAGTTGTTGCCTGCTGTAGAGACTGACATCTCTGTGGCCTCATGGAGGTCTAATTTCCAATGCATGTAACAATGCTAATCATTACCCAAATCATTCCCTATCATATCTGACTCAATACACACCAAACCCGAAAACATCGGACATCGCACTTCACACATTGGACATTGGACATTGGACTATCGGACTTCGCATCGGACTATCAGATATCACGTGTACTCATCCTACCTATGTCCTGTCTCATTGTGCTAGCCCCACTAGGTGCGCAGTTACTTGTTTTCACATCACTAACATTGCAGACCACATTATTACATGTCCGCAGCACCTCATGTCTTATTACATAGGACATTGGACCCGAAAATATTGGACTCCCCATAGCATCATCATCATCCAAGTAGAGGAGAGCCATTCTCAGACGCTTAGGGGTCAAACCTGATATTTCGTAGTTCTTAGTTGACATTGCGAATATCATTGTTCCTTTACCGCCCGTATCTGTCATTGTTATTATTATTATTGCGCACACCACTCGCTTTCCCGATGCTCGCTATCGCATCACTATTAGTTTCTGATAACCCAAACCCAGACCTGATAACCCAAAACCCTGAAAACATCGGACCCGCCACTTTTGCATTGGACATCGTAATTATACCTTCGGACATTGTTTCCTGCACTCAGATTATTGACCCCACATCACTCACTGACCCCAAAAACTATTGAGCCCCTTCAGTGACCTAACCCTGTAAACATGGTCAGCCCACCTTGACATTTCTTCCGAGTGACATGGGCCAGCCCACCATGGGCCCACCTTATCATGGTATGTCATTGTGTTCGAGTGGGCCTGTGTATGCCATGTAACCCATGATTATGAGTAGGCCTACTGCACATATTCATTGAAATGTTGCAGTGGGCCCACATGAGTCTATATGGGCATACATTGTATTAGAGGTGGGCCCATAGTACACTGGAAAGGTATTTCCCCTAGAGTTTCGAGTGGGCCCATGTATTTCAGGTCTGTCTACAGGATCACCGGCGCAATACGGGGCGGCGAACAACACAAGTTGCGCCGGCGAATGCAAATAAGATGTGCAACCGCCAGGATCATGCATGTCATCGCCGGCAGGCGAGAATGATATGTCAAATCTGGCGCAATTATCATCATCGCAACCGGCGATGAATTACACTGGCGCCCAATATGATAGATTCATTAAAAACGGCGAGCAGGAATTATTGCTAAAATTAGATTGAGCACAACCGCCGGCGATTGGGTATTTTTTAACCAGGCGAACAGTGGTGCGAATCACAACTAGATCACAATTAACAACCGGCGAGTTATTGGAAATGTCACCGTGCATCGGCGATGTTGTCCAGCGGGTGCTCCTGATGTGCTGGCCTGTCATACGTGTGGGCCCACATATCAATTCTAACGATCGGGTGGGCCCACGAGGTGTTGCATCGCAATGGCCGAGCCCGCAGAATGTATGTCCATGTAGCGTGGGCCTGCCATCAGCCGATAAGTGGGTTGGGCCCATTTCTCTTCCACGCCATGGAAGGGTGGGCCTGGGCCAGTTCCATGGTTTGTAGGGCTGGCTGAGCCAATTTCAATATGCCCACGGGTGGGCCCGCCTGTGATGTGACAGATGGGCTGGGCTCAACGGCACTTACCTGGACAGGCGAGCAGGCCTGGGAAACTGCAAAGATGATACGGGTGGGCCGGGCCAATACATCACGCTGCTAAAACGTGGGCCTGCCGGTTAGCTGTTACATGAGCTGGGCCCGATCTCAGTCAACGGGATAGGCGGACGGGCCTAGTGGATCGCGCGGACACTAGGGGTTGGCCTGGCAGATGTGCTGTCGCTAGCGAGTGGGCCCATTCCATCCCTTCATACACATGGGCTCATACAGATGCTCCCCTGCATACCGGTGGGCCCCGGCGGTGTATTCTGGGGTCAGGAGTGGGCTGATGCACGCCAGATCGATAGAGTTGGCCTATGCGAGGTACACAACAGATGCGGGTGGGCCCATGTGACACCATATCCCGAAATTGATGAGCAGGGGTGTAACCATGGCCTTCTAATGCTAATGAGTAGAGATACAATCGAATCCGTGATGCCGGCGAATGTGACAGTAAATCCAACAGAATAGCGGCGATATCATGCTTAATTTTCATTGCATCACAGTGTACGTGGCGGCCAAGCATAGTTGAACAGGCGAGGAATGAAAATGCTGCTGTCGGCTGGTCTCGCCGGCGAGACATGTACAGCGATTCACAATGCCGATGAAACATGGCAGCCAAGCACAATTAAACAGTCGAGAAATGAACATGCTGCTGTCGGCTGATCTCGCCGGTAGCATATGCACAGCTACTCACAATGCCGATGAAACACGGCAGCCAAGCACAATTGAACAGTAGAGAAATGAACATGCTGCTGTCGGCTGATCTCGCCGGTAGCACATGCACGGCTACTCACAATGCCGATCAAACACGGTGGCCAAGCATAATTAACAGGCGAGAAATGAACATGTTGCTGACAGCTAATCTCGCCGGCAGGACATGACCGGCCAGTCACAATGCCGGTGAATCAAGCATGGTGATGTGGGCAGATATCCATATTCACAGGTATATTTACAATTGTTGGGACACAAAATTGTTATCCACACTAAACTACAGTGGGTATATATTGTATTGTACATTACATGATATATTTACGCCGGCATTGTGCAATTACATTGCCGGCTCACCAGAAACATTAGAGTCCTCCGCCTCAGGAGTCTTGATGGCGATTGGCAAGCATGCCAAATCCTCGTCATTGGCTGGACCAGCAGCCAACTCATCAGACTCATCAGCGGCGATATCTGTGGGGGGCGCCAAGGAAGGTGGATTGATGAGGCGGTGAATGTCGGCGATCTTGCCGGCGAGCAGATCAGTGCGGTTGTCTTGCGCATCCAAGCGCGTGTACGCAGCTTGTAGCAGCTGGTCGCCTGCCACCACCTGCGCTACCAGGACTTCGACGGTCGAACGAAGCCTGGCAACTTCCAGCTTCAGCGCTTCCATTTCCTGGTCATGGGCGACACAGGATGGCGGCAAGATGGATGATGGGCTGGCGGCCTCGGGATCGTCCAGCGTTTGGGACGACTCGGGATTGGCAACCGCCGGTGTTGCAGGAGGCACCGGCTCTTCCTCGACCAACGGGCTGGCGTCTGGAGCTGGATCTTCTAGATTGGGAGTTAGTATGTCTTCAGCGCTGTAGAAATCATCTTACCTTGTATCGGCGAAGGGCGGCGCCGGGACTGAGAATGCGCTCGGCGGGCAGCCGAGGACTTGCCTTTGGCTGAGGGAGGGTTGGAGCCTTTCCCACCGCAACAAATCTTGAGGCGGCTGCACAGCGCACAAACCTTCAATGTCCAGCCGTTATTCTTGTTGAAGCCCTGACGGCAGATGAGATTGCGGGCCACACATTGGCCACAGCGAGGAGCCCATGTGGGCGCCAAAGTATCGGCGAACTCATCTTCCGCCAAGATGGCACCTGAAAAGTTGGTAATCTGTGCCGATGGGGAGTCAGATAAGGCGACAACAATATGATCCAACTTACTTTCTTAGCGCCCATCTTCGGCGCGACCGTGATAACGCGCTCTTCATCGGCGTCCATCTCGTCCTCGGTAGTGACCTCTACATACCGGTCGGATTTGCGAGACGGTGGGTCTGCAACTTTGGGCTAGAGGTACCATCAATCGAAGCTCACGCGTAAAAAGTTAGAAACTTACTTTAGTTGGCGGTGGGGCCACCTCATCAGAGTCCTCATCAAGCTCATCATCGGTCATGATGATAGCCCTGGACTTGCCGCGCTGCTTCTTGGAGATCGCCGGGCAGCTTCAGCTATGGGCGCTAGAGGCCCGGGGACGCTTGCCACGCTGAGTTCCTTGCCCCCATTCTTCGGCAGGCAAGGCGGGAGCTTTTGAGGCGCCGGCTTGAGGGGACGGCGACCGAGACTCACTTCCATAATGGAGTGTGGCGGGGAAGAGGGGATGGCCTTGAATTCGGCGATCATCCCCTCGGATCTGTGTCCACACAGGCGGGCTGCTGATGCCGGAGTTGTCGCCATCCACGTGCTCCTGCAATTCGGCAGCAGCCGACAGGATTAATGGTGACAAGACTGTCACCAAAGCGCCGTGTGTCATGAAGACCTCAGTCTAAAGAGCAATGAGACACGCCACACAAGCAAAGAGAAACTTACTATTGCCTGCGCCATGTTGGTGGCAAGTGAGATATGGTTCGAATCCTTGGGCTGCAACTGGCAGGCTTGCCCAAGGATATGTTCAATCTTATCCGACAGATCGCGGAAAGATTGGTTAGCGGCGGCTACGTGGGTTGTTGGAGACATGGTGGTAGTAGTAAGATGAGGAACGGCGACAAACAGAACACAACGTAATATATACAAATTTCATTTGGCCACAGTGGTGGTTGATTATGTCATTTTCCCATTGTCCGCCCACAGGTACCGTACATTCAATTGTACAAGACCTTCTCCACAAAGACCACTGTTTACACTCAATGTGCGGTGACCGTTCACCATTAGTAGCATGCTGCACAATGAATTTGTGGATCTCCAAGGATGTGGCCAAGCGCCAATCAAAGATACCCGCCGTGAGAATTCAAATCCCGACCCATTAATCTATTTAAACCCTGTTTTGTACACATTGCGAGGTCAAAATTCATTCTCCCACCCATGTCTTCCCAACAAGACTTAGAATTTACCTTGAAGGATTTCACACAAATTTTCGAGCATGCCGGATCCCGCCTGCTCGCCATTCGCATTGAGCTTGAGAAAACAAAGCTCACAATATCGCTGGACGATCGGCGAATATCTGAATTGGGACATTGAAGTAAGTTCAACTTGTCCTATTTTGCACAGAGGTCAATTGAACTTCCAGGCTTACACACTCCCTTGGATGGCGTTTTGCGCCGGGTTGTCTATCAACCCGCCACTTTCAAAGCACCTCCGTCACATGGTCGGCGTGCTGTCAATGAAACAGCTCGACATGCTGAAAGATTATGCGGAGGTGTATGACGCATTCCTCAGTTTGCCGGTTTCGCCATCCAGGCCATGGACTAAGGGCCGCCGCGTCCGGGAGTATCGCCATGCTTGGTGGACAGACCTTGTGACCATCAAGCTAGATCGAAGGTTCTTGACAACCTATCCGGACGGCCATGAGGTGAAGGAATGTGTCACGGCGCATTTTGCGCAAATGGTGAGTCATTGACTTCGCATGGATGACAACTAACAAACGCCGGTTGCAGTTTGAGGGAGACGCCTTAGTCACACCGGCGACACCGGTTTAAGCAATGTCAACACCGATTGCTCAACAGCTAGCCACCATCCACGCTGAGGCTAGGGAAGAAGGTGAATATCTTTTAAAGATGTTGGAAGACAAGGTTCTAGAGGCGAAGATGGTGGCAGCCACTATGCTGAGATTGGACACGGCATTAGGGGATGATGTACTGCAAGCCATCACGGCGTCTGACAAACTAGTGAAGTATTTGAAAAAAGAGGCGACAGAATAAACACCGGTTTGAGTAGTTAGCTTGAATGTGCTCCATGTAGTAATAGTTAGAGATTCCAACCATGGCTGTCTTGACAGGATGCCGGTTCAATGGCTCATGCAAATCAACAACGGCCATACCGGTCTCATTTCATCTATAACAACTTGTAGGCATGGCGGTCAATCCTCATCATTGCTGAAGCTGCGAACGACATCGCCGGGCGGACAAAACAATGGCGGTGTGCTCCGGCGATATACCGCCAGCCTGACCATCTCAGTTAAGTTACTGGCTCACATGGTCCTGGACTTAATATTCATGCGGAGACTGGTGGAAGCAACTGCAATGCTGCTTGATCACTTCCGGCAACTTTTCAGACAGCTGATAGCAGTGCACTGGACTGCCCTGCTCGTGGACATAGATTGGCTACCATTGCCGACAACCTCCGGCCACGCCGATGGGTATCATCCTGTGTGCTTCAGCGACAGTAAATGAATCGAGCATATATTGAAGCAGCCTTTGCCGTTCACTATACTAGTGTGTTACACCGGCAGCCATGCAGCCTTCGCCTGGTTGAATGAATCTCTCGCCTCTCCGAACAGACGCTGATAGATTTTGCACTGCCTCTCTGAGTACGCCACATGTCCATGCTTCTGGGCTAGCTTCGAGATGGCACCGAGACGGATCCATTCATCGGCCTTCTGAAGCAAAAAGTTACATGTCCAATCCATTTCATGCTGAACAAGCAACAACTCTTCTGCCCATCGGTCTCTCATAGCCTTGGCACGAAGCCAGTGAACATGGTAAACTGCAACATCGGCGGTATAAGCGCCGCTTCCACGGAGTATCGGTGACCTGCTCACACTCATTCAGCCAGTCACTGCTATCAGAGTCCCCTTCGACATCCAAAGACCAAAACCAAGCTAACACATTGTTCCTCTGCCCTCTTGAATTTGGATCGGCGACGGCAGTACTGACCTTGAGATGCTCCCTTGTCAATGGTTGGTATCTCTTGAGCAGTGCATCGTCTGCGCCGAGTCTGCACAATTGTGATCGGCATTTTGAATAGATGCTTGCATTGATGCTGACCGCCCTGTCCACTGAATGAACTTGAGCCCAAGCTCTGGTCGACAACGCTTGTGATTTTGCTACTCTGACAGTCTTCCGGAAAATGACCGCCTTGTCAGCCAAATGCACCCTGATGTGGTGCAGGGCATCATTCGCCTGACCTTGCCGGAGCGTGAGTTCCTGATCGGCGATATCAGCAACGCCAAGTGCCGCACATTTCTCTAGCCCCAAATTGGAAGGCAAAGGAATCACCCCCTTTTCCGGCTCAAACACTCTAAGCTCGGCGTCCATATCTTCTTCAGCGTCTTCTTGAAGTATTAACAGATCTGGTTGCATGATCTGCATGTTATTGTCGCCTAAGTCCTCGCCGAGAATTATTGCTCCGGCCGCCATCCAGCGATCGATATCCCGTTGCAGGGTATCACGTCGGCGACCAATCGCCAATCGCTGAGTATCTGTTGCCCGATGTCCGAGCTTTCTCACATCCATCTGCAGCGAGACCTGGGCTTCCTCGATAGCAAGGCCCTCTGCCAGCCACGTTGCCGCACCTCTCCGGCGCGCCTCGCCAAGCCGCCGGCCTTGCACCGTTAACAACCTTAACTCTTGCTGTTTTCTGGTCGGCGCTGTGCAAGAATCAGAACTGACTGTCCGTACGAGAAGTCTACATACCTTTGCGCAGTTGAACTTCATAAATGTCCATTGCTGTTGGATCATGGCGCCACCGTTCATGTGCCAACCTCTCTTGGGCCTCCCAATCTTTGACTTTATCGGCATTGGCGCTCTCATCAAGCCGCTCAAATGCCATGTTGCTGTCGGCGACCCCTTTCATAGCTTCCTTGTATTTTCGGCAAAGCGATTTGCCTGTACGGTCTCTGCTGTCAGATTCATGCACACAATAAATGAGACACCCACTCATTCTGATCATTTTCATGAAGTTGCAATCATTCATTTGGTAATCCAGGCATTCTTTTCGGTGAGGAGTTCCCATCCCACAGGCCGCCGGTGAGATTATATTTAACGGCGCCCATAATGTCTCCATGATCTTGCCGTCGATCCTGGCTGCGCCTTGTATGAAATTGAAAGCATATCTGACATAGCAGCTGTCTTGATGGCCATGGACATGCCATAGTCCGATGCCGGGGGTGATTTCCAGCTCGTCATGCATCTTCAGCAACGGACTGTCGGCGATGCGGTCCTGGAGGTGCTTATGATACTGACAGTTAACATCATAGAAGGTCAATACACGGCGGATGCCCTCGGCGTTCAGTTTCAACGCCTCGCACAGTGCATAATCCATATTCATCTGTCTGTTGACGGTCGGCGATAACGCACACGGTCCAAGTGATTGTACACACCTTTCTCCCTTCTGAAAATCTACCATGGCGTGCGGGACAAAACAACCATGCCTCGCACATGCGCATCCGCCGATGCCGGTGGCCTCCAATCTGTGACGAGATGCATTTGCCAAATTTACCGCGCAGTGGTTGTTGCACTCCGAGCGTTGCACGGCATCCTTGGCAATGGCCAAATGCTCCTTGTACAAGGCATCACCGACCATGAAGCCACGACCGTCCATGAGAGACACTTCATCGGCGGGATTTGTGGCATGCAGATGCTCGGCTTTGAAGTTTCCGTCCATGACAAGCGACCTTGTGTATAACCAACTCGGAGTCTCTCGACCAGATCCATTGTTAGCATCGATGTCCTCGGCAGTGCCTCCGGCAGGCAATGTGACATTAATTCCCGGCTGAGGACATGCCAGACAAAAGAGGGCTAGATCGCCAGGTCTCACTTCCTTTTCCTCATGGCCAAAGCCATTCCACTTCAGGAGCTTCAACTTCCGCCATTGTCTTGCCACCCTCATGAGCTCCCGGTAACGGTCCTTTATGACAATTAATGAAATGGCAGATGGTGCACCACAAAGCTCACCGGCACCAAGTGAGGAAAGACGCTCGTGGTCATCCTCCTTAACTTGCTGTAATAATTCATCGCCGAAGTCCCGCACTCCAGGTTGTCGAGTAAGAAGTCGTTCAAGACATTGAAGGTAAATGCTGTCTTTGGTTCTATGAATGACGCCGGAAACAAACCCATGTTAAACAACTGTATATCGGTGGCGTCGGCCTCTGGGCATGTGCAATACTTGACGATGTGGGTATGTACTCCGCACTTGTCAACTATTGTTGTCATGGCCTTGTTGTTCTTAATGAACGGCACGCCGGTCGGTAGGTCATGGGCCTCCTTTGTGCTCTGCTCGGCATTTGGTTCATTCAATGTGCTCTCGGCATCCGTATCGTCGGAATCTCCTTCCCCTGTAGTGAACAGAGCTGACTCCCCTACATCATCATCCCATGGGCATGCATTTCCTCCATGTCCGAGCCAGATCACCATCCCACTCTTGACCAAGCAACTTTCCTCAAAGAATGAGCCTGTCCATTGGCTAACCCGATGAAAGGGAAGCCTCTGGTGCTGGGTTCTGCAACAACTTGTGCAAAAGAGAGGCTCACCGAAGCATCCATGGCATTTATAGACACCATCTGTCCCACAGATGATACATGACCTATCTGATGGAACTTCTCTTTCAAGGAGTATGTCAAGATATGCTTTGGTCTTTGGGACCCATTGACGTATATAGTCATTTTGACTCTGAATACAGATCAGTGGTGAAATAGAGGTGATATCGGTGGATGGCTCACCAGGGACTTTGGCAGGTGCAGTGGAGTCACCATGTGATCACCAAGGTCGCCTGAAAAGTCATCTCCCCCATGGTAAAGCATACCATAAGATTCCTGCTTTGAGGGAGACTTAGTAGGGGTTGCTGGAACCGATCTACTAATGATAGGTCTCTCCACCCATTTGCCGACCACCTTTCTCGTCCTATATGTTCTCTGCCATTCTACCACTGCATACTTACGTTTTGGAGTCCACTCTTGTAGTTTAGAACCTCCCATTTGTTGAGCCCAGTACTGTATAAGAACCTGTAAGAATGACAAGTTTCAATTGACCGATGGGCAACATGGTCATATCAATTAATCACCATTGGTTACAAGTACATAATAAGAATTATAATATAAGCTAAACCGAGCAGAACACAGCAATCATATCCGCTATATATCCATGATATGAACTGTAATATAGTGTGAATGAACCGAGCAGAACAGAACAAAACCATGGAACACCAACGACAAGTCAACCAACTGTTGTTGAGTCTGGAAAGATTCACCATCACCATCCTTTATAACACAACATGCCAAGAAGCGAATCTCCTATCGTGGTTCCACAAAAAAAGGTTTGCTTGCAGAAGGCTGAAGTGTTGGTCCTCAGAGCCCACCTAGAAGACTGGAAGTCTGTGAAAGGTAAAGAAAGATTGAGGGTGCTGCTTGCCATCTACAAGGAAGCGTCCCTCCAAGCTCCCACCAAGGAAAAGGCTCTGTTGAAAGCTCGGCGAAAGGTATTTAACAGTTTATAACATATCAGAGATCCCGGAGCATGATAACATGTCTGTCAAAGATTTACAAGCAGTGGTTGCAGAACCAGTCTCGCCGGAGAGGAGCTGCAAAGCCCCTTATCAAGTATGGCCGTCATTGGACGGCGAGGCAAGTCTTGATTCACACACACAAAGCCTCGATTTGACAGGAGACGGGAGAGATGGCTGGAAGCAAGGGGATGATTACCAAGTGGCCGAAGGCAGCAAAGACAGTCATTAATTGTTTGTCGGCAGAGGAGAGAGAGGAAGCGGAGGCCAAGGCGGAGAAGTGGAACAATGAAGCGGCGCCGCCAGATATTCAGACCGAGGTCGCCGAGAGCAAGGGCGCCGACATGATCGAGCATTTGCGACTGAAATGTTCAAGAAAGCCGGAATGAGGGTCTGCATCCTATCCGCTTGGAAGGACAGCCAAGGCAAGCTTATGTTGGGAGGGTGAGTGTCATCTCCGATCAATCGGCGATTTATTCAACAGTGACTGCAGCCACGACTTCAATGAACAGTTCGGGGATGGAGAGAGCTTTATCAAGACAAGGGATTGGGACGGCATCATCATGCCTGAATGGGTGGAATATGCGGGGGAGCAATTTGGTGAGGCCATGTGAATGTCTTACTGGCGAGCATACTGAGGCAAATGAATGTTTAGATGGCGAGGACGACAGGGGAACCCCAGGTGGTGAAATCAAAGAAACGAGTCGCCAAGAAATTAGTTGAACTTGACGAAGACACCGATGGGTGGCCAATTTTGCCCGACACAACGGGTTGGAAACGAGCCGAACAACAGCACATGATTTGGTCTTTCTTGATGAAGCTCTATAGTACTTTGTGTTGCTCTGTCAGATTGTACATCATTCTGATTCTTAACAGGAATGTGCTCCGGCAAAGAAAACCTGAAAGCGGCGGTGCCATGGGGGAATGTAATCCATGACCCATGGGCGTTCTTTGACGGCGCCCATTGGCCGGCCGGCGTGCAGCTCAAGGAGCCATCCAAGATGGATAAAGCAGATGCCACCACCGTACTAGATTTCTGGTTTGACCGCCAGAAAAACGACATGCAACCGGCCTTCTCATTCAAGGCCTGGAAAGATTCTGATGGCGAGATGCAAGAGGCAGACTTGTGCCCACCCAGTGCCCACCATGCCAATGCCACAAAGCAGAGCACAGGGAAGGGTAAGGGCAAAGCCAACCCTAAAGCTAACCGCCGCCGTGTGGCGGAGGATAGCAATTCGGAGGACGAATTGGACAGTGATCTCGGAGAGGATGGTGTTAGTCCATCCAGTGAAGATGAGGAAGCACCATCCATTGGTGGAGAGCCCGAGATTTCGCTGCCCCCAAAGGTCGCCTTGCCGACCAAGAGGAAGCGGGCTGCAGGTTCACGCCGGGATACCAGACAAGGTGTCGCCAAGGTCGGCGGGGTTTTGAATCCTCCGATGAAAGGTTCTATTCCCTCCGGACAGCCTCTCAAGTCACAGGGAATACCATTGAAGGCGCCGGCCACATCTTTAGTGCCTGGAACTAGAAGCAAGGAGGTCGCATATACATCAAATGAGCCTCCCAAGAACTTGAAACGCCGTGGCACTCACGCCGTGAGTGACACGCCGGCAAAGCGAACCAGGAGTAAAACCACTGTGCCGGAAGCTTCAAGGGCCAAGCGTGGCAGGAAGTAATCATTATGTCATATTACATCTGTAGGATACGCCGGCATGAAATACAAAGCACACTGTCCACCGGTGCACATCGGTATAACTCATCGGCAATGTGCCGTTAACATAACATTGGTGGTACTCAAGAAATAGCCGTGACTAATTGAAAGATATACTGTATGTACTACTGACTACCAGCGGTCCTCTCTGCTGTCTCAACCTCATTTGCGAGACAGTCCATAAACGAAAGCTGGCGTATGTGGTGCTCAGATGCATGATGAAGGGTGATAAGATCTTTGAAGATCCTAGTCAACCGATCTCTGGACTCACAGAACGCCGATAATACAGCGCGGTTGCTGTTCAAGACATCTGCCGGCATGGGATCTCGGACATCATCGCCGGGCCTAATGAGGCTACCCAGCATTGTTTGGGCGAGTCGATCAACTGTAAATAAGTCAGTACAGTTGGAAGAGTCATGTCAGTTGCGGGACTTACATTCATCCCCATTGAGCCGTTTCACAATGTCAATGGCAGCCTTCTCAGCGTCGCCGATAAGGCGTCCGATGGTGTCTTGGCGGGTCACTTGACTGGCGGGATTGAGTTTCCGTCGTTTGGCAGCGGGGAAACCACCCTCCCAGTTCGGCAAGGCCTTTGGCGTGTAAGGGTCTGACTCGGGAGCCGGTGCTGCCTCTGGCACAGCGGCTATGTTAGGCGCCGGTATTGCCATCGGCACCGGTGCTGCTTGTGGCACGGCGGCTGTAATAGGCGCCGGTGTCCATTCCCCTACCTTTGCTGGTGGGACCTTACAACCGAACTGGAATGCTAGAATTGTGGTTAATCTTCGGATAACTCATGCATATAGATGAGCGACTTACGTTTATTATTATGGTCAAACCCAACATGGGTAGCAACAGCCGCTGTTGTTGAAGGTGGCTGTTTCCAGCCAAAGTTGAACTTGGCTGGATGTTCGGCCGCCGGTGCCTGAGGAGGAGTTAAGGGCAGCGGCGGAGACATGGGTCTCTTGAGAGGGATTACCAACACTGGCACTCCATTGTCGGGAGTGTTGGAACCGCTACGGCGAGTGCGCCGGACATCCTGTGGCGAGTGCAGTGAGGGTAGAATCTCACTCTCCACACTCATTCCGGAAGTTGAACTGGTTGAGATGCCTGAACCGGCGGCTTCTCTGTGGCAATGGACCGAGTCCAGCCAAAATTGAATGTTGTGGGAGCTGGGGAAGATGGTGTGCGCTCCGAGTCGACTGCCGCTGGGCCTGGCGTGTTAAGTGGTTGGCCTGCCGGACCTGCCGGCTTCTCTGTGGAATGGGATGGGGTCCAGCCAAAGTTGAATTTTGTTGGAGTTGGGGAAGGTGATGTAGGGTCCATTGCCGCTGGGCCTTCCTTGGTCGCCGTAAACCCAAAGTTGAATTTTTGAGGTTGTGGTGGCGTCAGAGCTGTTTGACGCGCCGGGTCTGGCACAAGGGCCTGCGCCTGTGACTTGCTTTCGCACTGGAAACCCAAAATTGAAGGTTCGGGGTACAGCAGGCCTCGTATGGGCCAAGTCTGCCGTAAGATGGCTGTGTGACTTCCCAAACCCGAAGTTGAACCCTAAATGGAAATAAATTAACAATCATGCATGCCACAGAAACACGTACTTGAAGGTTGGTTGCCGGTGTTGGAAATCGGCGAGTTGGAGGGTGTATCGCCATTCAGTGGGCAGCTCGAAATGGACGTGACGGTTGGTGGTCATATTGCAGAAAAAAGTAATGAGGTTTCAGATGTGAGTGAATGGAAGAACCGTCGAAGACACGAGCATTAAATATGTGCCGATTAGTGTTGTGGCCGCATCTGCGGGGTTTAAACACTTAGCCAGGACAATAGATTATGTGCGTGTGAAAGTTGACACGTGGTGCGAGATGTGGTCAGAGATCAGTGCTTCTGAATCCGCATGCCGCCGCATGGTACGGGTGACCGAGCCGAGTTCGTATCATGACATGAAATTTTAATTCGTTCATCTGCCATATAATGACAAGCGAATTGTCCCCATTTTTGTTATCTACGCTCACATTCCCTGCTCGTCATGCCATCCTCAGAAGTTTCCAACAAGGCCTTCAATGAGGTAACCGCCGGCGTGCTCCAAATTTTGGCAAGAGCCTTGCAGTCGAGCGAAGGTCCCGCCGGCCACCTGAACATGGCCACAGAGATGGCAAACATCATGGTCAGCATGTCCTCATTAGTCATGCACTGTTACCTAATTAAGCACAGACTCCGGCATTTCAAACTCATGCACGGTCGGCGACTGAAATCCTGCCGATCTTGCTTTTGGCGGCCATGGAATTAATGGAGCATGTAGATCGTGTTAGTCAGACATCGTTTCTTAGTGTCCCAGGTGTGGAACAACATCAAGTTTAACGACTCTCGCATCGAGCGCCATCAGTTATATGGCAAGGCTCACAAGGTAATTACTGCATCGGCCCCAGCGCCGATGTCGCAACCTCCAGATACACCACCGGTCGAGGCGACCACAAATACACCGGCGGTCCCTTCAGTGGTAGCAAAGTCCAAGCCACCTGGAATATCTGTCACGCGGAAGACGCCGATAGACTTGTGTGAGGACAGTGACGAAGTCGAAATTGTTGGGGATATCACCGAAAGCGATGCTCTCCAGAAGAGGAAGCGGAGGTCTACTGGTGCATCCGAAGAGGTCGCCGTGTGCCATGAAGACAAGGTCATCGCTGCCGGCGCTTGTAGACAAAGCTGAGGATGTCGCCCCGGGCAATACGAATACAACTGCCGACTAGACCAAGGCCAAAGCTGAAAAGCAAGCGGGTGGAGATAGTAGTCTCGTCTGGGTCTGAGGTCCCTAATGGATAGGAAAGGGAAGGGAAGGGAAGTTACTGTTGCCGTCAGAGACACACCGGCGGGACCAGTGAGCTGGAAGAAGTCTAGAGATGTGAGTTCTGGCAGGCCGCCGAAAAAGGCCTCTAACCATCCTCCGCCGATGTGAAACAGCCGGTGATCAACTGGAAACCATGGTATGAGGTTCAGGTAGGGAGCTTTGTCATTCCATCTTTATGTTTGTCTCATTACTGTATCCTCCAGAAAAGGGCCAGCACTAGGACTGCCACACGTGACCGGCAACAAAGTGAAGCTATGTTGGCGGAACAAAAGGCAACTGGTCGCCCCTGAGCCTGTGGGTTCCAGGAGCACGGCGATGCAGGCTGATGTCAATGCTGTAAGCTCCCAAAATGCCTTAAGTCTTCCTCCATCTTATTCGGTAAAGAACACTCCCATCGCCGCAATTCCACTCACGCCGCCTCCTTGTCCAACTCAATTGCCTCCGTCATTCGCCGAAGAAATGGAAGTTGACGTGTCCGGTGACACGGTTGCAAAGGATTTGCAGGCCATGACACTAGAGGTGAAACTTGATTCGGTGTCGCCCCTCACGGCGGTTCAGGACACCATCAATGACCTTCAGACTCAGGTGGCCGACATCCGAACTCGGAACGCCAAGATGGCCGAGTTAGTTCAAATCATGAATGGGCGCCTTGCTGCTCAGGATACTGACATCCGAGCTATGGAGAAAATGTGTGCTGAGATCGCCAGATTGCAAGAGGAGGTGAAGGCCTTGCATGCCGAATCTCAGACACGTGAGGCTCAGATCCGGAGCGCTGATGCAATGTTGACTGCACAAGGACATCGTACCGCCGTCCTGATGGATGCCTATGAGTCCATCCGGCAATGTGTTGTCCCCAACCCACCCGTACCTCATTTTAATAATGCTGTGTTCTTCCCCCCCGCCGGTCATCCAGTCCCATACAGTCAAGGCATGAGCGCCGGGCAGGCGCAGGCAATGGAACGGCTTTATTTCAATTTCACCCCAGGTCCTGTCTACAATCAGCAGGTACTTCTGCTCCAAGTATCGCCGCCGCACGTGCCAGGACCTTCAGGTTCCCAGATCAACCTGTCCCTTCGGTGAATCGGCATCTGGGAAGGGTCCCGCCGCTTAAATGATTTCTATCTGTCAATATTCTTGCAGTCACCATGTAGTGGTAGATAATTCAGGAACTGCGCAATCATATTCTTGTTAAACTTTCACTATTGATCACCCTCAGAGACGCGCCAGTTGTGAGGCGCCGCCGCAATGGCGGTGATTGCCTTACCTTCCAGGCGAACCAACCCCGAAGTTGCGGTCCGTCGTCTTTATCTAGGACGTACACTATACTGCCATGTTTGCATCATTACATTTGTGTTATCCATTCATCAGCAAGGCTCGGGCACTGTGGCTTTCTTAACCAGGGGCCTAAGATTCTTTTATGTCATTATCTTACGTCCCATCATTGATTCCCGACAAGTGGTAATTATAAAGGTGTTGACCAGTCAGTGATATGGTTGTGTCTGTCCCCGCCTCCATGAGTTTAGGTCCCTGCTGACTGGGCTTTGGCCACCACTCATCTTGCCAGTGACTATGTTTGCCTGCCAGTTCTGTGCTATTGTTGGAGTGACGCCGAAGGTCCTCCCGCCGCTGGAGCTTGATGTTGTTTTGATGCTAGGTTGCTCCCACCTCGCAAGGATTCTCGCCGATGCATATCTCAATCCTGGTAATGACCTTTCCATGCATCCCGCGCTAGCAGTTGATTTGAATTGGCTCTAGTCACTATCAACTTCGATATGATGAGATATTCCGAAGTACTGCAAAAGCAGGAGAGAGGTGTTAACCCCGGACGTGAAGAATTTCTCCTCACCCGATACCCGCCGGATCGTGAGATTATCCTGGAGCGTCCTGCAGTTGTCCTCGACAAATTTGGTCTTATCGTGCTATCGTACCTCCCCGGAGCAATTGATGCTGCCATTCAGGTAGGCTTGCACAAATCGCCGATGATCTCCGCTCACTGTTACAGAATGACATGCTTTCGGCGACGATGATGATGTCGGGCCCACTGGGCAAGAGTATCACCCGTGGTACATCGCCGAAGGACACATGGCGTACCCATGAATCCAATTTTCAAATCAGTGAACATGGCCTTACCTCAGGGTGCATAAATCTATTCGCCGGGGTGGTTCCTGCAAGCTCATCCTGGTGTGTTGACTTTTCGGAACAGAATATTTTTGCCTGATTTCTTCATAGGCTCCACAGTTTCACCCTGAAGTGTCGGCTACCCTTAAAAGCGACGATGGTGCGGCTTACTGTCGGGCGATGTGCAGACCGGCGGCCCTTGTTGCCGCTGCAGTTGAGAGTCATGCACTCCGGTCTTTATTGGTCATCGTTGACAACACAACTGGGGCTTGGGGTTTGGGCAGATACTCACCACACACAGACCATGGGGACTCGGCTCAGAGAATGGGCATCTGTCTTTACCGTCGTCGCCGTTATGTGCAACCGGTATACTCTCTTGCACCGAGATGCTCTATCCCGCGCTCAATGGTTTGACATAATGACCAGCAGTCGGCAGTTATACATCGGCGCGAATGAAGATGCCAAATATTGGCATTGAAATTGCCTATGATGCAGGTGTCATGGCTGGCGCCTCGGGAAGAATTGTTAGGCATGGGGTGAACTGGGTGAACGGCGATCGAGTTGGCTGGGTGTGGTACATGAGGGATGATATTCATGAATTTGTAGATGTACCTCGAGGTGATTATTCAAGGTACAAATCTGTAGTTACCGATGCGATGGAATTCGCATAGAATTGGGGTATATATAGTACATTTGGGGATTTCTTCAAAGTCATTGATCCCTCAGTTCCATACATGCATCGGCGAACTTCTGGACCAGTCTATAAATGTATCGGCGATTGTCGGTGCCGTTCGGCGCCATATCGCCGGTTTCAGTTTATCAGTGGATGTTGTGCAGCCCACTGGGCCTGCCTGTTAATCCCGTTAGCCAAGACTGGGCCTGTTCTGCTTGTTAGATGTGATATGGGCCCACCCCTGATTTAATATGTTTCCCCTGGGCCTGCATGCCGATTTGGCGTACCCGGGGTGAGCCCATTGCATCGACCTGGCGTCATTGGGCCCACCCGGCCACCGCTTTACAGGGTGTAGGCCCGACGGTATACACTCCAGACGCCTCTGGGCCCGTGCGTCTGCTTAACGTCCCTTGGGGTTTCGTTATGATTATGCGGCCAGCCCATGAGCTCCGAGATAGAGCGCTGGGCCCAGCTGTGTTCATGAATGTGGTGCTCCAGGCCCATCCGTCCGCCGCACATACAGGGCCCGGGCCTATTCGATTTCAGGAGACCCGATATGGGCTCCCTCGGGCGCCTTATCGCCGTGGCCCCAGCTCAGCCACATATAAAGAAGTATCCGCTTGGGCCCACCACCCCATTCATCCCACCAACAATGAGCCCATTGCTTTATTCTGCCTACCACTGTGGGCCCACCAGCTGCATCCAAGCATATTGGTAGGACCCGCCGGACTACATCGCCGGTGCGCTGAGTGATCTTCGCCAGGCCATTGATTACTTTGCACGTCCGGTAGTCCGCTACATACGCCGGCGGTCGTTGACCTTATGATCGGCCGTCGTTTCATCACCACTACATTCGCCGGTGGTGGTATTTTCCACTCACTGGTTTACTTTTACATTCGCTGGAATGCCTCATTTTTTTGGCCGCTGGCAATTCATCGGCGCCAGTATTCCAGCCATCTCGGAAACTCATGGGCCCACTCGAAATTGTTGAATCATCCCTGTTCCTCATTACTGCGAGCCCACCTGTAAACACAGTCTACTTTATCCAGACCCCTGTCAGCCCACTGCAATGTTTCGAAGAATATTGGCAATGGGCCTGCCCATAACAATATGGTACACAACACCGCCGGGCCCACCCATGTACACCGACATACACTCATAAAGTGGGCCCATGGTGGGCTGGCCCATGTCACATGGAGAAAATGTCAAGGTGGGCTGACCATAAAGTAAGGTGATATGTCACTGTATTATGTGCATTTTGCATCGTTGCGCTGCATTCGCGCAACCACGATCGGGGGCCGGGTAGTAACCTGTGTTCTAGATCAAGGCGCCGAAGTCGTTGTCATGCCAGCCGCCATATGGAAATCGCTTGGTGTTGGTCTACAGTCAGACCATCGCTTAAACATGGAATTGGTAAATACTAACAAGGACGCAATGCTTGGTGTCATCGAGAATGTACCACTCGACTTCGGAGGAGGACCACTGTACTTCCAAGTACAAGTCATACCTCGTGCGAGCTTCGAGATTCTTCTCGGCCACCCGTTCTTTAAACTGACTACCTGCCGCACGTTTGATCTCCCTGACGGGGAGCAGGATATTTTGGTTACTGACCCGAACACGCGCAAAGAGCTGCATATTCCAACGCTGCCTTGGTGAAGCGCTGCGAGCGCTGCACCAGTGGATTTCCATGTTCGGACCACCCACCAAAAGCGAAGGAAGAGAAGGGTTTTTAATTTTCGATGATCTGCATTATCCGTGGGGAGACAGTACCTCGCATACCCCCCATTACCGGTATTTTCCCTCGTCATATCTTATTCATTCTCGCATGTTTCCCGAAGCGCCGCAAAGTGTGCGTGCTTCAAGCGCTCAATTATCGCTCTTAAGGAGCATCCCCGCGTCATTTCCTAATACCGCGCAAAGTTTCGTTTCTTCATTTTCTCATCACATCGTATCTGAACCATCGGCGAATTACACGCATTTATTGTCCACCTGTTCCATTATTGATAAAGTGTCTATCAATGCCTTCAATTCTTATTATTATTATGATCGCATGCTTCACGCGCTGGTATATAAACCAGTCGCGGAGAAAGTGCGCACAGTGCCTACTACTATGCCGCCAGAGTATAGGATAGTGCGCCAGCTACCCAAAGACCCGCTCACTGGGTTACCCAATTTACCGACTGACCCCCCAGAATTTTCACCAGGTATCTGCTTTACACGCGAGCGCACGGAGAAGCTAGACCTAGATCCAGCCAATTGGCTATGGCCCGAAGACCTCAAACTCATAACTTGGCTCGTTAGGGTTCATGAACTCGCATTCGCTTGGGGCGCCTCAGAGCGGGGACGTCTCAATAAAACATATTTCCCGCCCTACAAGATTCCGACAGTGCTGCACACTCCACGGTCGCAGCACAACATTCCCATCCCACCCGCAATCACCGGCGAAGTCGTTCGCATCATCAAGGAAAAGATATCATCAGGCGTCTACGAGCTGTCAACGGCTGCTTATCGTTTGCGCTGGTTGGGTGTCGTCAAGAAGGACAGCCATTCATTGCACTTAGTCCACGACCTACAACTGCTGAACGAAGTTACCATCCGCAACGCATCGGTTCCGCCATTCCCAGATTTCTTGGCTGAAATGTTCGCCGGATACGCGGTATACGCTATGTTGGATTTGTACGCCAGGTATGATCAGCGCGCGTTACATGTAGACTCGCAAAACATGACAACCTTCGGAACGCCCTTAGGGCCGCATCGCTTAACAACACTTCCACAAGGACATGCTAATGCTGTTCAAGTCTATCAAGGCGACATGGCCTTCATTTTACAGGACGAAATACCCAAGTACACGTCGCCGTTCATTGACGATGTACCAATCAAGTCGGTGTAGAGACTAATATCTCTGTGGGCTTGCAGGGATCTAAAATCCCAATGTCTCTATCACTTCCTAATATAGTGCGACTTATATCTCACTCAGCGCGCTCAAGCGCTTCATCGGCCGCTCGCACGCACCAGCGCTCCGGTCGTTCATCGGTCGCGCATTGGCGCACGCATCCTTGGTTCCGTCGCACATCCTCCGTCCATCCATTCCATGTCCGTTCGGTCCGTCGGTGCGTATTCCGATTCTATTTTCATTTATTCTGACATATCTCCGGCACTTATAACCATATTTCGTATGTTTTCCATCATGGACCCTTATATTACATATTATCTCATACCCGCTTCGCTTCTCGGTTCGCTTTAGCGCTTGACAGCGTGTATCGTAACTTAGTATATATGCATGTGTCTAAACTGTATAATGATCATCTTCCTGCCCGCATATTGTCGGACTCTAAGTCTAAATTCCCTCACATCTCTTAAGTATCTAAAGTACAAACACGAGTGCCCGCCGCCATACATTACTAGAAACTCTGCCAATTAATTTCTGACTCATTAAGAGTCGCTGCGCTCCACCACCCGCACGTGCGCACCGCTTCCACTTAGCGCGCGCTTCCGTTATAAGTCACGCATCGTCGCTTATCGTCGGTCGTCGATACTCATTGGCGCTTTACGTCGCTTTCACTTGCTCGCACGCCTTACCAGGCTTGACCAAGCGCCCGGTCCAGTGTTTCCCTCCACATATACACTTAGAGGAACCTTCTCAGTAGCAATCCCCTTGGGCCGACGTATATCTCGCTCATCGAGGACTACTTGAGTATATCTCACACCACTCATATTACCCCACTTCCAATTCCTCTTCTACATCGGTCAATACCCGATATCAGCGCGAGGATGGCTCTTATGAGACCATACCCAAAAATCCAGGCATCCAACGCTTTATCTGGGAACACTGTATAGTTGTTAACCGCATCTTGCAGCGCCTAGAGAATGTTGGCGCGACGGTATCCGCGACCAAATTTGTATTAGCCGCGCCATCCGCAACCATCATCGGTCACAAGTGTACTTTCAAAGGGCGCATACCCAACGAATCAAAGGTACAAAAGATTCGAGATTGGCCCGAGCCGAAGAACCAGTCACAAGTGCGCGGGTTCCTAGGTACATGCGGTGTCTTGCGTATTTTCATTCATAATTTCTCGTGTATCGCGCGCCCGCTGATTAACCTGACCAAAAAGGATGTTCCGTTCGAGTTCGGCAAAGAGCAGCGTCAAGTGATGCAAATGCTCAAGAACTCCGTTTTAGATTCGCCTGCGCTTCGGCGGGTAGACTATGAAAGCGGCTGCAAAGTCATCCTAGTGGTTGATACTTCGTGTGTCGCAATTGGGTATATCCTGCTACAAGTTGGCGAAGATGGCAAGCGCTACCCCAATCGATTCGGATCAATCACACTCAACGAAGTAGAGAGCCGCTACTCCCAAGCAAAGCTCGAACTTTATGGTTTATATCGCGCGCTGCGCGCCGTGCACGTATACATATTCGGTGTCATCAACTTAACTGTTGAAGTCGACGCGAAGAATATTAAAGGTATGATCAATAATCCCGATTTGCAACCCAACACGACTATCAATCGGTGGATCGTGGGTATTCTTCTATTTCAATTTAATCTTGTTCATGTACCCGCCGTGAAACACGCCAGTGTAGATGGTCTCTCAAGGAGACCGCACACTGACGATGATCCAGAAGAAGATGACGATCATGAGGATTGGATAGACCATGCATACTCATTTGGCTTTGCGATCCTGAATGATAGGACACTCCAAGTAGAGTCGGCCGGCGCCAAATATGATCTAACCACGCATATGATTCCATTCACGCAAGCGCCAAGGCGCTTACCTGTCTTACGCACTTTTCTTGATGTTACAGAACCACTCCAAGACAACCCGCAGATCCCGCGCTCCGAGAAAGCGCAAGTGCTCGATAAGCGCATGGTATTGATAGAACATTTCCTTCTCAACCGCAAGAGACCTGCTGACATTTCAGATGATGTGTTCACCATGTTCGTCAGTCACGCGGCGCGCTTCTTCATTCTTGAAGATAACCTTTGGCGCCGCGAAGCGAACGGCAAGCATCAGACCATGGTGAAGCCGCATAAGCGCTACCAAATTCTGAAGCAAGCGCATGACAACTTAGGGCACAAAGGAATATATGCCGTTCGCTCGCGGCTGCTACTGCATTTTTGGTGGCCGCACATAGATGACAATGTAGAGACTCGTGCCTCTCATTGCGTGATATGGCAGTTTTCACTAGGGAGTACACGGCACGAACTTACAGCATCACTCTGTATGCTGTCCGCAGCTGTTCCTACATGAGGCGCAGCTTTCCCGCGCTTGAGCGCCCTATAGCGCCAGTCATCCGGAAGCATCCATCCACTGTCCACCAAGCCCTCTAGTACGTATATTCCCATTTCTCTTAATTGCATATCATTCCACCTTTATTTTGGACCCTTACTTACATATAGCTTTACATACCTTACTCGGTAGCGCTTCGGCTCCGCATGACAGCGCGTAGGCGCCATATAAGCGCCAGCATTACATACTATTACCCACTTTCCAACTTTCCAACCTACCTCCCACTTACCCACTTACTACCTAGCAGAAGATAGTTGAAATCTACTCTTTGGCACTCACATCTCTTGTCTTGTGTCCTATCATCACTTAAGCAAACTCACTCTTACCCTCACTTGTTTCCACTCACGCGTGCACCTTCGCTTTCCCGCGCCTCGCATCAGCCAACCAGTAGCGCCTTCAGCACCTACTTCTAGATCCTTGCTGCACTTGCTTCCCCTTTAGGGTCGAATGCACTTGTCATCTCAAGTATAGCAGACTAGGCAACGCGCGACCTCACAACATTTATAGATACAGTCAGGAGCATCATTTGTTCCTGTCAGTATCGTTGAACCTTCAGCACGCGGTGTTTACTACTGCAGAACTTATTGCATGGCGCGCATGCCAGTTGTTACGACTAGGATAGGTCGAGCTCTCCCTAGGCGGATTGCCTAATCTGATAGCGGGCTCGCTACTGGAGAGACGGGGGTCTTCTCTCGAATGAGAGGTTCAGGGGTTCCACTAAAGGTAGCGTCGGCTTTCCTTTAGGTGCGGCTTAGACTGAGTGATTGGGATGATCACACAGAGGAAGTTCTGATGAAAACCTAGTAGAATCAAGTAGGGAA